CCACCAACCGATGCTGTCAGATTTTCGTAATTGAAAACAGCCTATTCAAGTGTTGTGGTGATTAAGTAGGAGTTTTACACTGTCAGTTCTGCACACACTGTTAAGCAGATTTAGGCTCTCTGAAGTGCCTGCATTATCTGAGTGTTAAGTTGGGGAGCAAAGGTCAGGGGTAACACTATAGGTGGAATATAATGAAGATGGTTGAATCCACACATAAAACACAGATTCATTGAACAAATGAAGAAACGATTAAAGATAATAAATGATGTTGGACTACGATGTGTGGATATGAAGACTCGGCTTTTAAAACCAGTTTAAGAATCAGTTGCATGGGTTGAAATGACAGTGGACTTCCTCATCCTCACTATTTAGTGATGGTTCCTGTGAAGCTGACCGTTGAGCGGCCCGACCAAGTAAGGAGGCAGAGGCAGGGTACCAATGAATGGAGCAAGTTTCATGTAGGTGACCCTTTTATTTTGTAATATAGCAAGGGGGTGCATATTGTGATAAGCAGGCCTGTCATAACATGCACCCCACCCAAAAAGATGGTTCTCTTATTCCCACCCTCAAGCATTTTTCAGGGTATGGTTGTAGGACTAGTACCAATGAGTGGAGCAATTTTCATGAATGTGAGACTTTTATTTTGTAAGATAGCAAGGGGTGCATAACGTGGCAAAAATATGCTGACAAAGACTATGTAACATTTGTAAACATATATGTTGTTTATTATATGACAAATGTGCAAGACAATAAATGGCAAAGACATGTAGAAAATAAACGTATTTGATACGTTCATAACAAACGTAACGTGGGAAAAAATACGTTTCCAGCTAAACGTAATTGAGAATGCAGTTTATTTCTGTGGGAACGTAAAAGAAGTGACGATTGAATGAAAAATCCAGGATTCGACACCACTACCATCAAAATACGGAGCCAAAAGTTTAACCACAAGAATCAAGACTGAGCTACCACTAAGCGACTCACAGTCTGTAAATTACTATTAAAAAACCTGGACGTTTAGTTTTCGTTTTAAGCATCGTTTTAAGGTCTTAACGTTTCATTTACAAATGCGCGTTCCCGTGACAAGGGCTGCATAATTTGACACAACACCGGGATGCCCATGAGTAAAGCACTGAAACTATAACACCTTTGGGTGCTGTGCTGCAGTTAACCATCATTTCTGAATCTCTCCATATTGATGCATTCATGTTTGTCAGACAAAAAGACTTACAACATAATGAAAAACTGATATTTCCCAAGGGTGTGCATACTGTGCAATGCATCTCTGGTGAGGATGCACAGAGCCTCTGTGTGTACATACACCCGCCTCCACTTCAGCACGACATGCTAGCGTGATAGCACAACGTATATGCAGGAGGAGGGGGTTATACATACTATTCATAATAAAATAACCTTCGTAACTCTTCGACATTGCAAGCCTATAGTTAAAACACACATTATGCACACAGGTGTGAATGATATCCACGCGCTAAAATCATGTGACACGCCACCTATTGAGCAGCCTGTCATGTGATGCCAGCCAGGGTAGCTTCAAGGGCTGTAATGTAAAGATGGCCAGCTGTGGCTCCGGCTGTATTTCTGCAGAGGTTATTTACCGAGTGGTGCGACACTGACAGCTGTGTGACACAGAGCCCCGCGGTGACATTGACAGGTTCACCCCCCAGTACACAGCGGTGTTCCCCGCTCACCTTCCCCCTGAGGATAGCTTAAAACACGGTACCTGTTTGACATTAGCAGGAAGCTTGGTCCAAGGATAATTCTGCCTGATGTGAAATTCTACGTCCGTGTTCATCGCTAGCTAGCTTGCTGGCTACAACCAGAATCCCTGGAGACGACCTGAAACCTCGGGCAAGTCCACGGTGACTTTACCCCCTGACGCCCAACAACCGAGCAAGGCGACCCCCGACGTGAGGAGAGCGTTTATTATCCGGTGGTTATTTTCCTTTACAATAAACGGTCACTTCCTTGTTGTATTTTCGAACAAGCCGTTCGTCGGGCTCGTGGCTACATCCGTCACTTCCGGGCGAGGCGTGACGGTGGATGTGAATGGGGCTCAGAGCACAGTGAGAGATGAGAGGTGATGGAGTATCAAACAAACCTGATTTATATCAAAATGAAAGATAGTGTATCACCTCAAAAACCTGCCTCAAAGGATATGTCTTATTTTGTTTTCTTATTATCAACACATACAAATAAAAGCCTGCACCAAGCCCATTCATTCCTAAAGTACATTTTGGAGGTACATCTCTCTACTTGAGTATTTCGATTTGATGCTACTTTATACTTGTACTCCACCAGTATTCCTACACTGACGTATTACTACTTTTACTAAAGTATAACAACTGAGTACATCTTCCACCACTGCCTGTTTTCATTAAAAAATAAAAAAAAATAGCGTACTTCTATTTCAAATACAGCCTGTATAACATGGGTCATTGTGGTTTGTAGCAACATCACCCAAACAGTCTATTTTCAGACACAGATTAATACACATTTTACATTCTACTGCAGATATTACTGATTCTTATTTCAGCCAAGGACCCCTAACAACACAGAATATATTCCAGGTCCCCACTTTATGTCCCTTGGAATTATTTATGTCGCCAATTTGTTACACTTCTATAGTAGCCTACTATATGTGAAAGAACAACACAATTCGAAAGATATTACACATTAAACATATTTATTTATTTGTGACATTAAACAGTGATCTGTGGAGTATTGAAAATGTTTATTTGTAAACCTGTTTGTAAACCTGTCATATTACTACAGACCCTGCCCTGGAGAACTGCTGCTCTAGTGAGTATGTATGGCAGAATGACCCACTCAAGAGAGGATCCACTCGCAACAGCGGTAATTAAAGTTTAAAAGTCTCAAAAATGCTACAACTACTGTCACAAACTAGTTGAATGTGAAGTATTTTGTTAAAGGAGGATGAAAGCGTAATTAAGGAGCACTATTGGAGTGACTTTGATGGTTATTGGACTCAGGATTCATTCATTTGGATTCCCGATGTATGATGAAATTAAAGGACGGTGTGGAAGTGGAAACAATTCACAAAGGGATTAAACTGTTTAAAACACATGCTCAAAGTAAGCCGGATTTTGCTGATGTGTTTATGTGGATTCAAAAGTCGTAAATAATGTACAAAATGGAGGAGACCGATCTGGTCGGAGCAACTGTGACAAATAATCCAACTGAAACCGGCATGGACAATGACTATGTTTTTAAAATGCGCGTATCCAGAAAAGCCCGGTTTGGACACTTTACGGGCAGAAGAAACATTTATATTAAAGAAAGAATTATACATTTTTGTCTTTTTATGCCTTTAATAGCTACTAACTTGAATTGTTATTCAAATTAATTAATCAATTACTTTTTATATTGTAATGTAGAGACAAGGCTTTTAGTGACAATCATGTATTGCTTTACAATTATATGTAAAAAAAAAAATGAAAAAAAGTCTAAATAAAAAAGTCTAAATATGATATTTGGCCTCAAATCATCTGAGGCCTGGTGCCCCCCCTGCGATCTTTGGGGGGCGCGCCCCCCAGGTTGGGAACCACTGAACTAGACAGAGAGAGTGGTGCCTGTTCATGCCCCTGACTGAACAATATGAAATATGGAGAACCTGTAAGATAAAAGTGGAAGATTATAACCTTCCTCTTGCACCTCAACCTGCATTTATTATGGGTGGTCTTTGTCAGATTTTGAGCTTCGCCCCTGAAGTGTGAGTGTGTAGTACACACCATGACTTCAAGCATGAAGCTGTCACTTGGTAATGGTGTGTGGAGTGTAGGATTTCACTGTGTGACAAAGTCCACCAATGCAGCGTGTGCTCGCATGTCATGATGTCTGACTTGCTGACACTTTTTTGCAGCTTTGTCATTCAATCTGTCCACATGTAACTCCAGTTTCTTGTGATATGCCACTAAACAAATAGACAGTGTTTCAGGAACGTCATGGAGAGCAAATTAGAGAGGGGCTGAAGATAAGGCCTTTTTTGGAGATAGGGAAAAGACATCTTAAAGATATTTACTATCAGGAAAAGAAACCCATGGAATCATATCTCTCTGAAAAGTATGAGAATTAGGTTATGTCAAAAGAAGAATACTTTTTTTTCTCCTTAAATCTTTCCCATCAGTGACTTTGAATGATGTTGCAATAGATCTTGTCTTGATTCATTTGTATGATGTAAACATGAGGCTTGAAATAAATGGATTTACATTGGAAAAAGTAGTTGTACAAACAGTCTTATCGTTTTTTCAGTTATTTTAAAGTTTAAAGTGTGTGTGTGTGTGTGTGTGTGTGTGTGTGTGGTGTGTGTGTGTGTGTGTGTGTGTGTGTGTGTGTGTGTGTGTGTGTGTGTGTGTGTGTGTGTGTGTGTGTGTGTGTGTGTGGTGTGTGTGTGTGTGTGTGTGTGTGTGTGTGTGTGTTGGGTTTCATGGATGCTATTTGGCAACGTGACACATACAGTGCTACAGGGTAACTGATACTTCAAACAGGTGAGAAGTAGTAACTGCAGTCATCTCCAGTTGTGCATGAAGAGAAACCACATCTTGATGCACACTGGGCCTGGTTCTTACAGCTGTTTTCTCTGATCAAGACGGCCCATCAGCACTGCTCTATATTTACCTTCATCCTGGGTTACACACATGACGGAGGAGTAGGAAGGGACCTAATCAGCACAGAAGATGGACAAGGGTTTTGGGACTCTTTGATTAAACTCCAGCTTGGGTGGGCCCGATGGCTGAGTCAGTGCCTTGTGATGGCTCTCCCTCCCCTGGCCTTTGTAAACACTGGACCCGGGCAGAGCCGCTAAGCCGGCAACTGGGTACCAAACCGCTCTGTGTCACATGAGAGGCCTGGCTGGAGTCACAGTGGCTGGGATACTATTCTTAGTTGCAGGAATGTACACAGTGGCCTCATGGCGAGCTCCACAGCGCCTAACTGGAAAGCTTGTTCGTTTCTTTGTGTCATGCTCCTTTTCTCTCCCTGACTACACTACATTTTCTCTCTGGATACTGTTTTGGTTTGTTCCTTGTAGGATTTGATAATTTTTTCAGTCCAAACCAACCACTGATTTTGGATATTATTGATTTTCTGAAGACAGGAGGTAAGGATTTACTCAGTCACAGATGCTCACTGATGAACTGGCAACAACACGTTTCTCTCAAACTTTTCAGTTTGATGAAAATATGATATTTAAATGTTTCAGAACTTTTGTTCAGCCATAGGCTCATTGTCTGCTTCAATCATAATTCATTATGATCACAAATGTTGTTTATGATTAGGTAACTGAGGCTTTGCCTCTGTTACAATAACTTAAAAAGCCATTATTTTAATAGTGTGTACTGATAACAGCAGAAGAAGTTTAAAGTATACATAGGTCACAAAAGAGCATAAAAAAACCATATTGGTTACATGATAAATGTTTAGAAACATTATTGATGACTGATTACAAAGTATCCCAAATGATATTTTTTGCACAGTGGTGGAAGAAGTAATATCTGACTGAACTAAAAAAACAAAAAGTACAAAAGTGAAGGCAAAACAATATACAAAAGTACCAACATAAGAGCACTAATTATGCAAACTGGCCCAATTCAGAGTTACAATTATTATTGAATAATAGTTATTGATGCATTAATTTTGCAGCTTTTTTAATGTATTTATATTCTATGTATTTATGTTCATTCTGCTTGGTAGCCTTTTAATTCCCCCTAAAGACCTATAAAGCCTTATGGACATAATTATATCATACATTAATTATTAATGTTTTGTATTTTTAATCTGATCTGTGAAGTAACTGCTTAAACTGTGAGTTGTGAAATGTCTGTTACAGTCATTTCATAATAAAAGGTAATGACTAGAGGTCCAAATATATCCAACAGGCTGGCAGGCCCTGTAAGTGGGAGTAAATCAGTAGCTGTCACTTTGGGTGATTAAAAGCCTTAGTGTTACTAATAGCACAATGAAATTCCTGCTCTTTACACCGAAAGGTCTTCACAAACTGTCCAACCAGGGAGAGGCAGAGAGAGACTTTGAGAGAGGAAGAGAATGGCAACAGAGATAGAGAGGCAGAGAAATGTCCAGAGAGAGGAGAGACAAACAAAGATGGTGTGATGACACAGCTCTGTTAATGTTAGCGGTGATGGGCTGCTTAATACGGGAGATGTGGCCTAATGCTACATGGATGCATCAAGATCATTTGGAGGAGGTAAAAATAGCAGTCAGTCAGTAATCTTCACTTTAAGGACAGCTGCTCAGCAGAAGTTTCAGAGTTTGAGTTGGTCTCATAAAACCAGATAAAATGTTAAAGCATATATACATGAATTAACTAACCTAAACTTTGGAAGAAAAACTTCTGCTATTGAAATGTAAAAATGAAGCAAAAACTGCCCTTTTGGAAGATTAGTCATTTGAGTAGTTTGTAGAGGAATCCCATTCTACTTTTAGACCTAAAAGGATACAATTTGAAGAAATTACTTTTTTCATTTGATACTGTCATATGTTGATTAAGTCTACAAATATCGTATTGGTATATACTTACACTTTGTTTTTTGTACAGGAAATGCGGCTTCTCCCTGTGTCTAGTCTTTATGCTAAGCTAAGCTAACTGTTTCCTGGCTGCATCCCCTACTTAACTCCAGACATGAGAGTAGAACGGATCCATGCTTTTCCCGATATCTGATAGAACCATGCAATGTCAGTGTATGCCCATGCTTTTCCAACACAGACCATAGAAACACTTTGATGATGGAGTCTCTCTTTTCCCTCTCCACAGAATGGCCTTAAAACCACAAGATGTTTTCTCTTACAAAGACTCAGAACTTCCCACCCGCCTTCATGCCCAGCTCAACATCCTGCGTCAGGAGCGTACCCTGACAGACGTCCTGCTCTGCACCGAGCAACAGGAGATCCCCTGCCACAGGAACGTCCTGGTGTCCAGCAGCCCGTACTTCCGTGCCATGTTCTGCAGCAACTTTCTGGAGAGCAGTCAGGCCCGAGTGAATCTGAAGGGGATCTCTTCAGATGTCCTCAGTGGCATAGTGGACTACGTCTACACAGGTTGCATCACTATCACCATGGAGATCGTGCTCCCACTCATGCAGGCGGCCTCCATGCTTCACTATGGAGGTCTCTTCGAGGCCTGTTCCCTGTTCCTCCAGGAGCAGCTGAGTCCAGAAAACTGCCTGAGCATGATCCGCCTCTCTGAGATCCTTCACTGTGAGAGCCTGAAGGAGAGGGCGAAGGAGATGGCCGTGAGGTGTTTCTCTGACGTAGCCGCCACAGAGGACTTCTGTGAGTTGTCCCTTCCTGAGCTCATGTGTTACCTAGAGGACGACCGACTCTGCGCTGAGGAAGAACAAGTGTTTGAGACCCTCCTGGCGTGGATCCACCATGACCCGTTCTCCCGACGCGGCGCCATCCATGATCTCTTCAAGAAAGTCCGCCTTCGATACATCCATCCAACTTACCTGTTCCAGTTCATCGCCAACGACCCATTGGTGCAGTCCTCAACCCTCTGCACTGAGATCATTGAGTCAGTGCGCCGCCTCATGCTTTCAGTCAGCACCAAGTGTGGTCGAGAGCTCAAGCCGCTCTGGACCACTCCACGACGTTACACCTGCAGAGAAACACTGGTGGTGGTTGGAGGACGCAAGAACAATGAGCAGACCTCACGAGAAGCTCTACTGTATGATGAAAGGACTCAACGTTGGCAGTGGTTGGCCAAGCTCCCTCTGCGCCTCTACAAAGCTGCATATGTGTGCATTCATAGCATCCTGTACGTGCTCGGCGGGCTCAGCCTCTGCATGACGTCAGGTGACAGCTCAGTCAGCGCCACAGTGTACACGCTCTCCCTGAAGACCAACCAATGGCGCACTGCTGAACCCATGTTGGAGCCACGATATGCCCACCAAAGTGTGTCCTACCTGCACTTTATTTTTGTGTTAGGAGGCATTGGGGTTGACAAGAAGATCTCTCAGTCCGTAGAGAGATATAACAGTATGTTTAATCAGTGGGAGGCCATGGCACCAATGCCCACAGCCGTGCTGCATCCAGCTGTTGCAGCCAGTGATCAGCGGATTTATGTTTTCGGAGGGGAGGACGCCATGCAGAATCCAGTTAGACTGATTCAGGTAGAGTCACACACCTAATTTTATCAGTATTGAATCAGCAATTATGTCCAATATGTGCATTGTTGCCACTCAAATAGAGACTTAGTTTTAAACTGAATTCATTGTAAGTTTTCAAAGATAGAAACCAGATGTCACACAAGCAGAGAGCAAACTACAGTATTTGATGGTGCAGTAAATACGTTTTCTCTCTGTTGATATTTGTGATGTGTCAACAGGTGTATCACATTTCTCGCAACTTGTGGTCCAGGCTGGAAACAAGGACGGTTAAAAATGTGTGTGCTCCTGCTGCTGTCATTGAAGATAAGATCTACATCATAGGAGGTGAGCTCAATGAATGGTCGCCCCGTTCATTACATAACTTTACATAATCAATGTACTCATTAAATTAGAGCATTAAAGCAGTTATCTCTTGGTATTTAATGATGTTCCTTGACTGTGGCTCCCAGCCCCACGCCCATTCCTTCCTAATGACAATGTAAATCTTAAGTTATACTGTACATTTGACAAGGACTATTTTTTGCTTGACAATTATAAACATTTGATGCTCTAGTGAACGTATTTCCAGTAGGAGGACAGTGTATTGTATGCGTGGTTGTCTCAAAATAAACTAATACAACATGTCTCCAAGGGCAACTGTGTTGCTCAGTTATGTGTTTATAGTTTAGTAAAACAATGGAGCTCTACTGCACAGAGGAATAAACTAAATCAGGCTTTAGATACACATAAAATACGCTACTACTGTCCATTAGTCTATGATCTTCTTTGTTTGTAAGAACAATATAAAACTTTAACGGACTCAGTTCTTTAAAGTGTACTGAATAAAAATCACATTTTTCAGGATACACCAGGCGAATGATCGCCTACGACACAAAGGCCAACAAATTCATCAAGTGTGAGAACCTGAAGGAGCGGCGGATGCATCACAGCGCTACAGTCATCAACAACAAGCTCTACGTCACCGGTGGACGGATCCTCAACGGCCACGATGTCATCGAGGACTCAGACTGCTTCGAGTGTTACGACCCCAAGACGGACGTTTGGACCTCGAAAGGTTCTTTGCCTTACAAGCTGTTTGACCACGGCTCCCTGCCTCTAGTCTGCGTCTCCAATAGACCAAACCCACCATGACCCAACATTAACCGGCTACTTGAGCGAATGCTTTGCTGCATGTTCCTCACATCCCCTTTGCCATGATTTATTGGCCACAAATGGGAAACCATTTCAACCTGACTGCATTCCTTCACGCAGCTCAGTCACAACTTAGCAGCACGTTAGGCCAGACTGACTTTCAGCTGAATCAAAGCGTGGCTCAGCTGAGAGCAGAGGAGTCACTGCTGAGGCACCTGAGGGGAACTGAGAACCCACAAGATGACGGGAGGCAGACGAAATTACGTAACAAGCAGCTGTGCAAACACATGTGCAATCCAAAAAGCAATTATTGCACATTGCTGTGCTTTTTGATGCTCACTCAAAGTGGTAATGCTTTAATTTCCCAGACATTTAGACACAGCATATCACTGCCCGGCAGCTGCAGTCGACTTCCCTGTTACTATTAAATACATTGGGATAAAAAAGTCTCGCTGCTTGGCAACTCTATGAGCTCTGCTGCTCGTGTAAAACGATCAGAGAGCTAATATAATTTGCACTTAATATAAAATACATTCCTCCTTCACCCACATGCTTCTCTCTGACTGCACTTGCTGATTGAGTTGATGAATTGCAACTGAACGTGGATCAGCTCCCCCAGCTAAATAAAGACGTTTATCGTGTTTGATGAGTCCATAGCACATTTATTATTTCAACAAAACAATTGGGGCCAATTGTATTCCAGACTATAACAGTGATATTTAAAACAAATACAAATGATATATTATGTTATGAAAACACACAATTCAGTGCCTCTTTAATCACGCTTATTTGCAGTTATACACCCCCCGTTTCTATCTCACTACAACCATATTTTGAGTGTAATTTAAAAAAGAACATTTAACAATCAAAAAAGTTAAAGATGAATTTCACAGATAGCATTAACCTATTGTCATCTATAAAATGTTTCCATTGGCATTGTGATAATATTGTTATTGTGAAATACTGTACTTTGGCCCCAATGTGTATGCACTCTGTAGTATAATAAAAATATGTATAATAAGTCTCAGCACTCAAACGTTTGTGTAGGCTATTTCATTGGTGGTTTAATATTGGAAGAAGAAGCAGCTTCACAGGCAGCTATACTGATGTGAGGAAATGTGACAATGCTGCCTTTGAGGCGAATGCATGGTGGAGATGCAGCGACCTAGGGGAAACTATTACTGGGAATGATGTGGGGGAGATGTCCAGGGTTTTCAGCAGGCTCATGTAAACATGTAAACCACAGGTGCTCTCTCATGTACATGTCCGCTGATTTCAAATCAGTCTTCTATTCATCTGAGAACAAAAGCTGTAATATAGCGGAGGAACATTTGCGACAATGAGACAGACCACTACTTTTACATCTGTGTCGACCCTGCAAACCTCTTGACCCTGACGGAGCGTACGTTCACTGTTGTGCTAAGACCACTGCCCCTGGTAACAGCTGCCATAGCAACGCTATTATCACCCCCATTGGATCATCCGCAGCATGCCTCCCTGTAGTGCAGTGGTTCTCAAAGTGGGGGGCGCAGAGGCATGCCAGGGGGGGGCGGGGCGCGAGAGACCAGGAGGAAAAAAATGGTTATTAAAAAAAAAAAAAAAAAGATAAAAAAGAAACATTATTGATTCGAAAATAATATGATGCAGTACAGTACTATTACGTCTGGGTCTCTGTGTTTCATTAAAGCTTGACTGTGTGTGTGTGTGTGTGTGTGTGTGTGTGTGTGTGTGTGTGTGTGTGTGTGTGTGTGTGTGTGTGCGTGTGTGTGTGTGTGTGTGTGTGTGTGTGTGTGTGTGTGTGTGTGTGTGTGTGTGTGTGTGTGTGTGTGTGTGTGTGTGTGTGTGTGTGTGTGTGTGTGTGTGTGTGTGTGTGTGTGTTGTGTAACGAGCCATTTTGTGTGCGCGAGCGAGAGAGAGAGTGCACCGGTACTGGAGATCGTTGTTGTTAGCTTCTGGTGCTAGCGAGCTACGCTAACAGATATAAGGAGTTTTTTCAACAACGAAGTGGAGGAGAGTCCTCTTCTGTCAGACTGAGAGTGAGCTAAAGGACTCTGTCAGTGTTATCTCAGTGGGTCTCACATATTTTGGTCACCATTAATGTAAACAATTATTTCCGAGGCACACGTTTATATGATCATTATAGTTATACAAAAATAAAAGAATAAATGAAAAACAGGTATGAAATAGCTACTATATGACAGTAAAAAAAGAATAAAGTTTAAAAGGGTGATTTGTAAAATATCCATAAAGAAAAAGTAAATCTGTTAACAGTTCTGTTTCATATGGGTGTTGAGAGATGTATCCATAGATCTCTTCATTTTCCTCTCAAAGTGCACCAGATTGATGCATTTAACTTCAATATTTAAAAATAAATCTTCCCGGGGGAGCTTGCCCCCGGACCCCCCTATGTGAGGTCCACACACCACCTGTAAAAATAGCACTTTATCCCTGCTTACACCTATATGCCGTGAGCTGATTATCGAGCCTTCATTGTAACAGTCGCGGGTGCACAGTGTATTTGCGTGGGGATTGTTGCAGTAGAAAATTCCACTGTAGCGACCGGGACATTAATGGGAAACCCTAAATGTTTGAGCACCCTCTATGAAACGTCAAGCTACCCCACAGCACCCCCAAAAGAAATTTCTGGCGGCGCCACTGAGCCTGACTATTTGTGTTGGGGGGGGCCCGACTTCTTTTTTTCTCCAGGGGGGCCTGACAGAAAAAGTTTGAGAACCACTGCTGTAGTGGGATTATTTAAGATTGATTTACTGTAACGCTGATACTAGCACAATTTATTTTCTTTCACAACTTTACAATATCCTTATATCTTTGATATTGATTTCCCTGTTTATGGTTGTTGTAAATTGATGTGATACTGCAAAGACAATTTCCAATGTATTGCTTTAGATTTATCTGCACACAAGAACAAATAATAGTTGTTTTGGACAGCAGTATAAATGTTGTTTGTGTTTTTTTCTTAGACTCAGTATCACTCACTTGGTGCAGATTTAATAAATAATTCCTCATTTGTGTTTGGACCGGCTGAGTCCTGTTGCCTTGACACAGGGGAACATTGTTGGCACAAACACAAAAAACATAGGCCTATTTGCTGGCTATCTAGGGAAACATATGTTATCTATATATCATCACATGCAACGTCAATATATTTAACTTTAGTGTAATGTTTCAGGACTTATGATAGAAAGATAAAACAGTTAAGATTAAATAAAATAAATGCATTGCTTCATGTTACATTATGACTTTCACCCCTTGACCTTTCAGTCTACATTATACTCATACAGTAGTTAAGAGGAGCTCCACATGGAGGCTAAATATATTGTTACCCCCCTGGGCATGGCCGTATCTACCATTTAGGTCACCGAGGTCCGGACCTCGGTCCTCGGTAATATTTTTCGAGCTGTGTATACAAAACTTGTGAAATAACTGCACTAAACGGGGTTCTTTGTAGTACTTCCATTTACTGACCATGGGGGCGCTGCATAACTACGCAGTCTCGATTAAAGCAAACAGAAGAAGACAACATGTATCAACAAACCACCGCAGCCCGGGCTTGTAGCGGAGGACAGGCGGAGGTATCTAGAGATCTGAGTCCAGCGGGCTGCTTGTGTTTCTGTTCATCAGGACATCATATGAGCAGCAGATCCTGTGTGAACGCTGTACGTTAGTCAGTGGACGTCCGACAACATGCACACTAACTGATATTGCAGCTATAGGCTATACTTTGGTTTACATTGCGTGAATAAACTAGCTAGAGAGCTAAAGTTAATTACATTCATCCAATGTCAGAAGGATTACCTTTTAACAAACGTTGTAATGCTTTTCTTTCATTTCAATTTGAGTAAAACATTGAAGATATAACATTGTATTGTTTTCTTTTTACACTGACTCAGATATAATGAAAAGACTACGTCAGTCGAAGCTCAGCTTTGGTAAGGAAGAGAGAGAGAGAGAGAGAGAGAGAGAGAGAGAGAGAGAGAGAGAGAGAGAGAGAGAGAGAGAGAGAGAGAGAGAGAGAGAGAGAGAGAGAGAGAGAGAGAGAGAGAGAGAGAGAGGAGAAGTCAGGGACGAACTGCAGGTACAGTCACACAAAATAATGTAGGCTTAATAACCCCATCTATCCATCCATCTATCTATCTATCTATCCATCGTTAGGAACCTTGACTCAATAGCTTGGAGGACTCAAATGCACGACCCAGAGACAAAAAGGTTTTTGAAGAAAAAATAGTCTTTACTTGCAACAAACAAAATCACTCTTTTAGAGGAATGAACAAACTGACAAACGTAAAGCGCTCTCGTGGAGGGTAAAAGGCAAAACACTGACTTTAATTAAACAATGGCTTAGATCTTACTTCTTGGAGCAATGAACAAGACGAACCGACAACTAACAAGGGGAGACAGGACAATATATACATGAGGTAAGTGGGCACAGGTGGAAACAATCAGGGGCGGGGCAGACACTGATGATGGCGGGAAAAGGAACCAGAGCAGGAAGTAAAGGGACCTGGAATGAGACAAGGTGAGTACAAAACAAAACAGGAAATGGAACATAAACTAAACTAACATGACAAAACTTAACATAATTGACGGGACACAACATCCATCTATCTATCTATCTATAACAATAGTCTTCATTTATAGACAATAGGCACCATTTTAAAACAACATATATCTATTGCAGTTATGATGTCATAATAACATACAATTGTATAAAACACAATTTGCTTACATCTTTGTTCTCTTTTGAGAATCAAACAAAACAGATTTAAATGTAAAAAAAAAGAATGCAAACAAACAAGTGAAATGAACTGAATTGGTTTTAATTCACTGGCTGGAGCGACAAGTGAGGAGGAGCAAACATTTAACAACGAGGGAGAGATTGAACAAAGAGAAAGAGTAGAGGACAGAGAGAGTAATGGAAGAGATAGAAAGAGAGGGGGCGGGTTATGGAAATGGAGACTGAGGGAAATAGCACAGGAGACACAAGAGAGACCAAATACCAATACTAGAGTAGACCAGGCCAGAAGAGAGGTAGCAGGAATAGAGGAGAGAGAGATGAGGGGTGAGAGAGCTGATAACGGTCAAAGAGAGACAATTCTACATGAATTTGATCGAGCCAATTATAAATATAAAGCACTAACTGATTAAGAAAAGTACTGCCTTCTCAAAAAAAAGTGGTTCAAACATGAACATAATTACCCCAAAACAAAGTTTGGTGAAAAGCAATTACGCTATAACATGAAGTGGGAGGAGAAATATCCTTGGCTAAGATATTCTGTTTCAGAAGATTCCACCTATTGTTCCATTTGTATGTCATTTAGTAAAAAACAAAAGAACACAATCTTCATAAATGACGGATTTCGAGACTGGAAAAATGCCATTGGAGAGAAGCGGGGCATCATTTCTAACCACAGTTGTAGTCCAGCACACCTACATGCCTCGGAGCTGGCTGAACATTTTCTGTCAGTAGCCAAGGGCAACAGAAAAGCATTAATTCTGTTCTGAGTGATGCATATGCAGAGAAGGTTGGAATCAATCGCAAAGCTCTACTTTCCATTATTTATGTTGTCAACTGTCAATCAACTGATTCTTATGCATTACACTTTCAAAAATAATTTATATTGTAGCCCACTGACTTGGTTTGAAATCAATATATTATCCAATTTCGGACCCCCCACAGGACTTAAAAAGCACCTCACTAGATCATGAAAATCCCCCCGAACCCCCCTAGAAGGTTTGGACCTCGGTATTTAGGAAATCCTAGATACCGCCCTGCCCCTGGGAGGCTCACTGTTTACATGGTATTTGTATGCAGCCCTCTGGTGAAGCCACCGACCTTAGGGGAAGAGATGCAGGATCATATATCCCTTTTACATTTTAATCCCTGCCCATTAGTGGGGAAACATTGAAAGAAGCCCAGGAGCGGCGACCAAAAGGGAATTTCATTAC